GAAGACAAAAAAAATAACCCCAAGTGTCTACTGGATCTTCTGACATTGTGATGAGCATTTAAAAAATCAGAGTTTGGCTTTGTTTTCTCAGCTTGGTCTTTCTCAGTCAAGATACATTCAGGGCAAGATGACCTGTTGTGAGACTCTTTTAGGCTGAAGGTTGACTGAGTGTTCTGTGCAAAGCTACAAGCCTTTGAGCTATGAAAAACTTTTACAATATTACCTCGCTCCTTTGCATTCCTACTGCCTAATTTTTAGGGACTGGTTTCCAAATAAACAGAGTGCATGGCAGTGCTAGCTTTAGTTTATGTCCAGGATAGGAAGAATTACTTTTTGCCAACCTTTGCCTGAATTAATTCCTCTTATTCAGTAGTAAGAATTAGGTTCCTTACCTTTCTTAGCTGACCTGTTTTAACAGGAAACAATAATAGCTGATGAGCAATAAAATTTCACACTAGCAGATTTTTTGCTACTACTGGTTTATCTTTAGTTTTGGTACCTGCCTACCTCCTTACCTCCTACATGTCTTATGCATGTCCTTGTCTGAAATATAATAGGCAGAGCGATCTGACTAGCCTCTTTCATGAGTCCATGCACGCAGTCCTTAAGTCTTGCTGTTCTTGTGCCCGAGGTTATGGGCGCTACTGGCACTAACTCACAGTTTCTCCTTACCTTAATATGGATTTACCATCTATGTCTTTACCAGCAGCACGTCCAGTTAATGCTGGGAGTACTAACATGAGCAGTCTGCTGAAGGAGGAATGAAGAAATGCACAAAAAGTGCCTGAATAGTTTGGAGTTACAGGTTTGGAGGTGACCCGAAGGGGGATTTTTATTGCAATGCCCGTCTAAGTCAGATGTCTTATCTGCAACTTCAAACATGACAACTTCACTAGATTCCCAAAAGATTTTCAGAAAATATTTTGGTAGTAGGTGATGTCCCTGTCTTTGGCCAGAGAGAAAAATGAATCAAGTCTAATGTCAGTTTACATCAGTATTTTCATACGCTATGCCACCATTCTAATGCTCTATATCATATGTCCACCAAAGTTCACTTGGTGAAAGAAGAGCGGGAAGACAGCCATGTAGACCTCTAATGAAATCCGTGTGTCTTTGTCAGCATTAGAATTTCAAGGATTTCCACCCCCTTTTTTTCATAAAGGAGATAAAAAGATGCCATCTGGACCTAGGCCTTTGTTAGTGACTCTGTCAGCATGCAGGATTTCTGAGTGTGTGGCTTAGCTGAATTTATGGAGTTTTCTCCACCAAACAACTATGGGAAAGGAAGGAGACAGTATGGTCAATGGGTATTTCACTCCAGGTCTTCTCAGCTAACAGATGGGTCCTTAGGAATTGGCAAGGATTACATTGCTCTGATTTATGCACTATGCTCAGCCTGAGGCAGCAAACTAGGAGAAGAAATTGATAAGTACTCTTTAGCTTTCTGACTTAAAATCTTTCCTGATATGTCATCAGAACATAGTTCATGGTAAGGTAAACTTCACACAATCAGAAAATATTGAAGATTCAAGGGCTAAATTAAGAAATATATCTGATAGAAACCTGCCTGCTCTCTGTTGAGGCTCTTTTTTTTTTTTTTTTTTGCCTGTATGAAATGAAGTTTTGGTTTGATGGAAAAGGGACCCTTATTAACTAACCCTTTGTTAACAGAGGCTCTAGTGCAAAGGTGAAGAATGTAAATGTGAATTGTTCTGCCAGATTTTCTGGAATAACATTAATAAGGTGACATTCTAGGGAACTACGGATTACTCTCCGTGAATTGTGCATTTTCTCCTACATGTGCCGGTCCTTTACTGTGATTTCATTATTGAACAGAAGAATCTAGCTCCTGAAGATAAACCGCTCCACCCCTTCCCCTCCCCACCGACACCACCCAAATGCAAGTATAGTCTGAGGAGATATTAAGATAAATACACCAAGCAGAAACACAGTCTGGGAGATACCATGAAGGGAGTTACCACACTCCTCACCCTAGGAGCTTTCTGTTCCTCACGTGAGCAACATGTGTGATCCTGCGTTCAGTGTCCATCCTTTGACACCTGAAGATATTGGTTAACTGTGACTCAGTAACAAAGAGGAGAAGGCTGTGTCCTGTGCAGCAGCCCTCTATCCGTCTTCATTAGACTGAATATTTAAGTTGCCAATTTTATCCTGGCATATGGCTAGGACTTGTTCTAGACTCATAACCTCAATAGGACATCAAATCACTGATTCCAAAATGAGTATCTATCTTCTGGTTAAGTATCTCTTAAAAAAAAAAATACCCATTTTGTCCTTTCTGAAAGGTGAGAGTTAAAGCCAAGGTCATAGATAGCCTGCTATCAATTTCAGTGGCCTATGAATGATTCAGAGTGCTGAAGGAGGTTTTTGATATATTAAGAGCACCACTGTCCTTTAGAAAGGAGTTTCAGGCCTCCTGCTGTTGGGAACATACCCCACTCCATCCCAAAGGCAGTCACTGGGCTCCTATTCTGCTAGCTGTTATTTCACAGGACATACCAGTAGCCAGTGACAGCATTTAATAATGCTAAGAAATCCAGATGGCTTGGGTTTACACAACATTCAGCAGCTTCTGCTATTTTTCCCAGAAATGCAATGCTTTAGGGAACCATGCAGTCAGGAAAAAAATCCTTTGTTAAGTTCAGTCATTATTTGGTAGTAGTTGATGTAGCAATGTGGAATATTTACTTTTTATGGTGTTTACGTGGTTGAAGAACATCACTGCACTTTTCTAGAGATACTCAATCTAGCGTTTCCTCTTTTTTCTATTTTTTTAATTGTTTTCAGCTTTACCTTTCTTCCAGATGTTCCCAGCCAAAGTGATTGAGTGCAGCTTTTGCAGTTGTTGAACATTATAATTCCCCTTCCTAAAAAGACAGTGCTAATGTTTTGTGTTCTGAGTTCTCTATTTGAAAGAAGTCTCCTCCAAAATAACTACTAAATATCCAAAAGGCAGGAATATATAAAAAGAAAGAGAGTAGACTTTTGTGATTCTTTTACACCAGGCTGACATATTGCAACCACTACACGTCACATGCTGTTTTGTGTGATGCATTCACCTCTTAAGTTGTTTAACAACCAGAGTCAGCAAAGGAGGAACGTGCACTTTCAAATACATGTTGACATCTGTAGTTTACGTAGTAGCTAGAATCAGCACAATCAGCTTCAAATACCAGGGGGGTTTCTTCTGTTTAGTGAGTGTAATAGGCAATTAGCATAAAAATAGTTCAACCAGTTCATGTTATAAATCATACTAAAGACTAGGGTTACATCTGTGTGTACTAGAGAATTAAACAGTCCCACTCTGATCCATAGGCCAGCTAGAAGACCCAAGTCAGATATATACTATGAAATTATTTATAGCTCCCAAAGCAGGGTGGCTGCATCCAGTTTCCTGTCTGGGAACAGCCCGTAGCCTGTGCTGCCTACCAAGATGAGCCTAAAAACTTTTTGGAAGAGTTTCGATCCAAGACAAGACCATGCGAGGGCCAAGCCAACATTTTCGAAGTAAAGATGTCGACTTCCAGTGCTCAGGGCCCTGTCCTGGTGCTGTTTAATTCCTTGGTAAAGAAGTAGCCCTGTGAAAGACTCTCTTTGGCCGTTATCAGCATCAGTTACATTCCAACAGCCTCTTCACCGCTGTCGGGAGCAAGGCTGATGTTCTCAGCTCTGCCAGGGAGAGGTGCACCTACTAACATAATGGACTAAGATATCTTCTTGGTCCTTCTGTCGCACTCTGCAGCCTGCCTGATACTACAGCAAAACAGGCAGGCAGGGAAGTGGCTAGTCAATTTGTCATCTTGCCTGCAAAGACAAGGACGTGAGTTTCTTTCCTCATTTTCAGTCTTTTGAGGTGTCAGTCTTCTTCCAGCCCAACTAATACTTGTGTTCTTGTTCCAAAATTTTCTTCCTGTGTAAGGCCAGTAAAGTTGGTCATTCCAGCTTTAACTCTGGAAAATGTATTCTCTGACTAACTGACTATTCAAGTATAAAAGACATAATCCAGCTTAGTAACAAGATAATAACTATGTAAGAGCGGAATAGAAACTTCTTCAGGTGTGAAAGAAACCAATTTATCAGAAATGAAAAGAGTCATTAGTGAACACGTTTAAATGGAGAGGATTTAACAGAGACACTGCTATGAAGCTTGTACAGTTTTACAGTTTACCAGGTTTGTTTCATTTGAAGGAAAAGAGCCGGAGTGCAGGGTAAATGTCAATAAGGTGGGGCCATCTAGTGTATACTATTAGTGTTACAACTTTGCCTTTGGTAATTTGACTTTCTTAGCCTGGCTAAACACTGGCCCTAATTCCTGCTCTATAATTATTTTCTGTAATTTGCAAGTAGGTCATTTGTGAATAATGAGTGCAATAAACTTGTTCTCTAGAAAGAGGACCATGAGCATAAAACACATGTCAACGTTTATTTTAAACATGCAAACTAAGAAGCTAAACAATGTAAATGAATCAGAATTGTACAAAGTTGGAAGAAAAATGATATTTTAAAATGTAGCTACAAATTCTAGCACTGGAAGAGTCAAGGCATTACCTAGGAAAGCTGAAGCCCTTGAAAAGAAGTGCTTGCACAGGTTTCTGGGTAAATGAGAGGAAACATTTCACCAACAAGAAAAGCTGAGACAATGCCTGTACTGGCTTATGTTGATTAAAATCAGTTGGGAATGCTAGGAAATTTGAATTGTCACTGTGGAGGCAAATTAATTAATTGTGTGCTCATGTGAAAACCACCTAGCTGTAGAAACAGAGATGCTCATGAGAATCCTGAAGAAGAGGAAGGACAGAAGTGTCAATCCCAGTATGATGGAGCAGCAAGAAGCATCAAAAGAGAGTACAGCTGAAAGACTAGTTCTTGCTTTGTGTGCCATCATCAGAACAGACAGGATGAGCGAAATTAAATTTAGAGATCACAATATGGCAGTGTAAAGCTGTTCTCAGCACTCTTCTCTGTCACCCAGAATCCGTTCAGCATGCACCTGCTTGCTGCATGTGTAAAGCACCTCTGCTTCTCCTGCAAAGGAAAGGACATAGACATTACAGATAGTAAGCTTAATATTATGAACTAAAATATTCCTGAAGTCCTCAAGACAGCAGCTTGCTAACAGAGAAGACCCTTTAAACACTTGCAGCAGAAAGGAAAACACTGACTTATAAAAGATTTTCTTTTGAAAATTATGAATTTTATTCCACAGGAAAAATTTTCTGATGTTTCCAATACCGTTTTTGAAATCTTACATGACCTGAATTGGGTCAGGTGCCTTGTTAGCAAGATTTTGATCATTGGACTCTTCCTTTTATTGTTCAAGCTTTACAATTTCTGCTAGAATAGGAAGTTGCTTACAGAAATACCAAGGTCATTCGTTTAGATCAATTGGATCTTACCGTTGAGAGAAGCAATTAGTCTATAAAGATAAAGCAAAGAAGCAGAGGAGTAGAGACCCTAACAAAATGACAGCGCTTAGGTTGAATGGAAATACTAGCAAACCCAGCTAATATCAGATTTTGGCTTATTCAGGAGTAATTACTTAGTACTGTACTTACAGGACTGCCTTACAGAAGGAACACTTGTTGTTATAGGTTTTCCCATCAGAGCCACAAAAAGGTTGATAGAGCCTTTCACAGTAAACAGGTCTTCTTGCCTGTAAACTCCTGTATTCACTGCAGTCTACCTGCAAAAACAGTATCATTTTCCTTTGAATCCATCTTTCTCGCATTCTCTGTTCACCTATAGAAATAAGGGATATATGAAATTTTTTGATAAGCTTTTTAGCTGCTATAGATCAGCACAGTCAGCAGGGCTCCAGCCTCTACTCTAACTGAGCCCAAGTCTCTCAGAAGAGAAATGTTCTTTCTAGTAGAGGTGTACATGATGCTAGCAACGTCACATAATGAGTACCTTCCGGACTTTGCTGTCTGCCTGAACCAAAATCACTGTAAAAAATGTAGCCCCTCTGCAGCTACAAAAAAAAAAAAAAAAAGCAGAGTCTTCACAGTTTTTTCTGGCTGGTAATAATTCTAAATTCCGGTGAGAGTAGTTTTCAAGGACGTGAAGGGTTTCTGTCTCTTTATCACACACATAGTAGCTCCTGACACTTTTTACAATGGTGAAAGGATCTACCCAAACCGAATTAAGGTAAGCCCCATGTAGGCATTAACATGAAAAGGAATTGTTGAAATGCCCGCTTCTGATAGTGGAACTGTGTACATTACAGACTTGTATAGAAAAATGGGAATACGAACTAATAAAATAAATGACTGAAAGAGCTCCTGTTCCACTTTTGAAGCTCGGTCGTCTTCTGTCAAGTGAATATCCTTCCTGGTCTTTGACGAACAAGGAGTTCCTTTTGTAGTTCACTTTTCACTTTAATCTGCTATTTGTCATCTTTGAAAGCCTGGGTTTGCCTGCCTATGATATCACCCCTCCTTTTAGGCGTCATTGTGGTAACTAATATCAGTTTATCAGTTCAGCTCTTTTTGCTCCCAGTCACTACATGTGCATCTTGAACAATTTGAAGTATGATATTCTTTGGAGGGACACTATGACTGGAGCTTTTCTGTTCTGAAGATCTAGCCAAAATATGTAGTATAAATCTATGTAGTTAAAACGGGCTCTCCTTTGCTGTTCTCTTGTTAGGGCCTGATTTTTTTTCCCCCTCCATTCTTCCTTTTAGTGGAAGGCAGGATTATTACTTCAAGGAAAACCAGGAATTCATGGCAGTGAATATGATTTTTTATATGCCAGTCATTGTCCAGGGCCTGCCCATGGGCACAGAATGTCCCCACTCTCTGTGTGCGGTCACTTCCTTCAGCAGCCTAGACCCTGTGACGTGGCTGCAGCACAGACTGAGAGAGCTAACTTAGCGGTTCCACTGGCAAAAGGGTCATTAGCCAATCACTCTTTTAGGTATTATGGGCTCAAAGGTGATGTCCCGTAAAAAAAGCATATGGGACATTAGTTAACCTGGATTCCCCTTCATTTGGTCCTTTCTTTCTCCTCCAAAGCGCTGGCCTGGGTGTTCACATGTTTTAAACACTGTGGCTAGAAAGCAGGACGCAGCACACCCAGCCCCAAGCGCCAAAGCAGCTCAGAGATCTGACGTAGCTGGCAGGTTTCCACAACATAGGCCAGCAGAGGCATTGGCATGGGAGGAAATCTCTGTAGCTTGCAATTTATCATTTTAAAACTAGTCAAACACCAACCTGTGGGAGACAAGGGCCAGCTAATAAAAAGGTAGAGACCAGGTGAATTTGCCACATACATACATGTCACAACTGGGAAAATGGGGAAAATACTCCATTTAACATGAAGAGAATGGAATAGGCTCTTCCTGGACAAGAGTGTATGGTCAGGCATCAGAAGTTGTGTATGTTGTGCTAGTATGGGACTAATTGTGTGTGTGTGTGTGTGTGTGTGTGAAGTGCCACACTCTTGTGCTGCCCCATGGACTCCCCAAGGGCTTGTCTCTGCTCAAATCAGGAAGCATTTTCATTGCTCAGTACCATATTTCTTTCAGAGGTTGACTCTACCATGGATACTCCAGCATAGTCAGGGACAAGTTAAAATCCCTAGGGACATGATTTAGGATCTGAAAGTCACCAAGGAAGCCTTATAGTGTCTTCACCAGACAAATACCAAATGTCTTAATTTCTCTCACTTAAAATTTCCCATATCGGGTTTCTTAAACTGTCTAACCACATACAGCATTATATGTAGTAGCATCTGAAAGTTCTCATGGCAACTATGAGGAAACCACATATCTCAAACTCAGGGATTTCTCTCTGATTTCTGTAGCATTTACTTAGTGTTTAATGCACCTTTTCTGACCTTATGGATCATGATGCACTATTGTTACAAGGTATTTATTTCTATCCAGAAACAAAGGGGAAAATGACTCACCTCATCTTTTTTGGCAGCATCTGGAACAAGAACATAATAACAAAAGGTAAAATTGAAAAAGTCATTGATGGACATTCAGTTTGCAACTGGGATGGTTTCTTTAGTACCTTCTAGCAACGCTAAGGCTCTAACCTCCTTGAAAGTAAATACTAACATCATTTTTCAGTGTTTAATAAAATACATGTGTCAGGTCGTATTAAACAAGTGGACCTTATTGCAATGTTTACATTAGAAATCCATGTCAGCAGCTAGAACAGCCTTTGTTGTCAGAGAGAATGGAGTCTATTGTTCCCCTTTTCATCACAGAAAGATTAAAGATGCAGGAGTCAATATTATATTCAGGATGAACTAGCTGTTGAGCATGACGTTTCATTCCTAATTCTATCATATATGGGTATATTAAAAAAATCATATATGGGTACAAGCAAGTCACATGGTCACATGAAATTCAGATTATAATATCACTTTTAAAAGTATTTTCCCATGCCAATCGATATGGATTCTAAGCTATTTGGTGGAGGAATTAGACCCTATTTGTATACACATGGTGTCTAATACAATGGAGCCCTGATCTCAGGCTGAGGCTTCAAAAAGCTGCTTCAGAACAGCTAATCAATGATAATTACAGCTCTCAGAAAGTAATCAGATAACAGTGACACATCTCCATTATGGTAACACATTCATTACTGTCTTTAGGAATGTATTTTGTTCTTCTCCTGTCCTGTAATAGTCATTCTGTAGCTTCTAAAGGATAAAAGTTAGTAGACAGATGCTTCTGTACAGAACGAGCAGGAAGGAAATGGAGTATGATGTGAAGGCCTATACAGCTACAGCATTTGTCTTTCTGGCTAAATACAATTATTTTGGATCTTTGAAGCTTTCTGTTGAAATTTGCTTTCATGGAGCTGCTCATATCTTGTGATTAAATAGAGTCATCCAAGGTAAAAAGACTTGCATAAATAACCCACCGTGTCAAGTTTCAGTCTATATCACCAGAATTTTGACTACGCTTTCATCATTCTGGAAATGGATTAGATTTAGCCCACCTCCACAAAAGTGTTTAAATGTTAGTTTTCTCTGGTAACCTTTTAGTATCAGCTGTATTTTGGGGAGTAAAAGCAAGAAAGATCTATTTCAAAAAGGACTGATCCATAAAGTTATAAAGCAGACAAAATAAACTAGAAAATTCAAGGGAGAGATTCGATTGAGTTCTCTTAGAAAGGAAGAATTTCTTTTGCTGCAATTACTGAAACATTATTTGAAAGCTCAACCTCCATCAAAAACATTCTATTTTATTAAATTTGACATTTTTTCATAATAATTTTGATTTTTGAGACATTTTTCAAATCAAAATGTTCAGAGTTATTCAAAATGGGAAAAAGATTATTTTGTTTCTTACTCTCTGTTTTAACATTTTTGTTGTGTTTTGCTTCTTTAACATGAATACTAGTTCAGTGCTACTGAAGAGAAGCTAGCAGAGAAGATTTGGACTCCCCTCTTTTAGTTATTCTAAATCTACTTATTTTTCTAAATCTTTCACTTTTTTCTTGCAACTTTTTCTTCCAAAGTAAAAAATAAATTAGCAAGTGAAGGGTTAAGAAATTCCTCCCATCTCCAGGTTTTATCATAGAGTAACCTACATCCTCCTGAGTCTCAAATCCGTCTCCAGCCCATCATGAAGAGGTTATTAACAGCCAAGTTATGTGGCCAGTGCGTAATCAGTTATCTCCTGCTTGCTTAGTGTGGCAGGAGAAGGACCTCATCAAGTCCAAGTTCTCCTCTCAGATGGGAGAAAAAATGATTAAGTAAAACCTGCTTTCATTCTGAGGCTTTGCAGTTTTTCTTGTTTTTCTGTAACACTTTTTAGTTGCAATGCAAAATACAACCGTGACTTGCACTGCCAACAAGGAATAGGATTCATCTATTCAAGTTGACTGCTTTAAAGCTGGTAAAATATTGCTTGGTAAGTAGTGCACAAGCATAAAATTTCACTTCCTAAGCTGCCCCCAAAGCCCAGCAACTACTGCTTACTATCTTACAAGACCAAGCAGCTTCCAGTGTTTGAACATTAGAGCTATAATATATCAGGGAGTAAAAAAAGGTTACTCACTTGCTGAGCAAAGAACTGCCAGGGTGAGGAGCACAAAAATGCCTGTTATCTTCATAGCTGACACAGGTTCTTGACCTGTTCCACAGCCAGTCTATGCTCTAAGTGTCCCACTGCACTTCGCTTGAATGTATGTTCAGGTATCTGAGTGTATATATATGTATATATATATGTATACATATGTACACAAAGAGCAGGCACCCTGATGATGAAATCCACCTTGTAGAATGTAATTGGAAGAAGGTGTTGCCCGTGGGTAGTGTCAGTAGGAATGTCTTCTTTACAGCATGAAGGTCGTAACTACAGGGCTGAGAGTCACAGCATGGATTGTTTGATAAAGGAGATGTACTTTGGCTAATCCACTTGCCTAATTAACTGTTCCATCTGCATTAACAAGCTAAAGGAGTGACTCAGTAAGGTGGTTACTTATTGCTGATCTGTTATTGCCATACTGACTCTTACAGCTGAACATAATTCCCAGGGGAAAAAGAAAGATCACTGCAAGATGCATTCCAAAAGATTCATACTAGTATAATGTAAATAATTAATTTCTTCAAATTTTAGAGACTCTTGTCACCAGTTGTGCGTAGAGTTGATGGCCTTCCTAAGCTTATGAAGGCAGGTCAGTATTTCCACTGAAAACAGCAAATGCTATGCATGGAAATAATTTAATTCCAGAAAGCTGGTGAGTTTTGCCATGCACTGAATCCTTTCAAACTGCTTTGTGGGAGTAGTTTCACAGGTGCTTGGAAAAGTCTATGTTTTGCATATCTACTCTCTTTGAATATTCTGCTTTAAAAGTTCCAGTCATCAATTTGGGCAGCAGAAGCAATACTTTGTGAAGGAGGGAGCATAGATACTGCATTGCACTGCTTATCACAGAGAAGTGATGAGTTCACAGCCGTTCTGCATCCGGCTGAGTTGGTGCCTAGTTTGCTGCCATGGGGATATGGAGAAGATTCCTGTTCCTTAGAATATTTTCTTTGGGCTCTTCACAATTTTCAATGCAAAAAATATCATATCATGTGGTATTCTTTAAACAAATCCAACATACCAGTATATTAATGACTTAAACAATCAATAGGCATAATTCCTTGGCTTTCATAATTTGCATCATGGATAGAGTCACAGTGGAAAACTCAGATCTGAGTCTTAATTCTCACAAAGCTCAAAGAAAGCTGGAGTTTTGAGCCCATATTTGTGTTTGAACCAACCCTTCCAAAACTCCCTTCTTTTTAGAGATTTAGAATGCGGTCACCTTCCCTACATTGCAAGATAGCCTGGGACTTTTTCCACATCCAGGAGTTAGGGTGCTATATGCTATTTTCACCAAGACAGAGCAACTGACTATCTCTATGTAAAAGGTCCTAGTAACTCCTGCTCCTATGTGGAGAACAAGAGAGAGACCAAACGTTTCATCTCTAAGGAATGTGGGTAATGAATAAGTGGTTAGTTTCTCATCACTCGGTGGAGCAAAAAAACAAATGCCATCAACTTCCAATTGCACATTAAGAATACGTAAAGATCTTGTTAGAGTTAGAGGCCTGTAGATTTTTTTCAATGTCCTTACTTCAGAGATTTCATCTCAAGCTTTTCTACATTCTTAATCTGGAGATTTGTGCATATTCCCGTGAGGTGGAGTGCACAAAAGACACGCTGTTATTTAAAATGGGGCTTGTCTGGATTCTGCTGCTGTGTGCTGTCAGTCAGTTCTTTTTTTTTTTCTGGAAAGCCCTAGGCTTTTCTGAAGAGCCTGAGACAGAGTGTATCTAAGCTCATGGAGAATATTCAAGAAACATTCGTTAGTGGATACTGACAATTACCAATATTAGGCAACAGAAGCAGAGCCGCCAAAAACCCAGAAGGTACTCCTGGTCTGACTAGCTTTTAGCAAACTTCAGACTCTTGAGGACATCATGAAACTGTAAAATTGCAGCTTGACAGAACATGCAGCTTCCTTGACAGTGGTATGAGGAAACCTCCCACTTTGGTTACATTTTCTTGCCTAATTTGGTGCTATGAGGTGTCCTATCTGATGCAACCACAGAATCCATCCCATCACTCTGGAGAAAAAATACTAACATCTGTTTGCAACCTTCTGAATTGACGTAGGAAGATTTTCTGAAGACAAATGAAGAAAAGAAGACAGCACATTTAGGAGTGGGAAGGGGCTAATGAGGGATGCAAATTTTGGATCAGATTTTTCTTAGCATTTGAAGATTATTTCACCATAGATGGAATTCCTGATGTCAATTCTATGTCCCATAGGAGCAGATCCATGGTGTGAATGTTTTCTTCCTGGCAATGCTTAGGTGTTTTGATTAGGGCTTCAGAGTCAAATTAACATTCATTTTCTTTGTAGGGCTTGTCCAGATCATCCCAATAAGGAGGGATACAGTTCTGATAAGAAATTGTGCCATATTATCAGGCTTGTAAATAGTAGAACACTGGAAGAGGGGCAGGGCAGGGGCTCAGCCAAAGTTCTGGATTTTCTTGCATTTCGAAAGATAAAGCCTGTCTTAAAGCTTTAAGAAAAATGTCATACACACAATGCAAGACAGAGTCTGTTTCACTTTCTGAAATGATGTAATACTCAGATGCAAAACCTTGAAATGAAATTCTGTAAAAATTAATGCCACAGTCTTTACTGCAACTCCGTTTTAAAGGATATCTAAATACCCCAGTACCATATGCCTAGCTTTAATAATGAGAAGAATTCACATTAACAAAGTAGAAAAGATATTCACTGGCTGACCAAGATAATGTTTCACCTGAGGTACCTTTCTGAGGCACCTGTCCAAACTTGCAGGGACCTGTTTGCCCTGATAGTCTTCATAAGGAGCTGGTCTGACTACCTAATTGTCATCCTCAGGCAGGCCAAAGGTTCATCTAGGTCAGAGTTCTGTCTCCAGAAATATTTAGTGGCAGATTAATAGAGAATACAGAGTGGTTCTTCTTTGTCTGGTTCTGGGCTCCCCAGAGCAAGAAAGACATCAACATACTGGAGCAAGTCCGGCAAAGAGCCACCAAGACGGTTAGCGGGTTGGAACACATCATACAAGGAGAGACTGAAACAAGTGGGTTTGTTCAATTTTAAAAAAGAAGGCAAAGAGAAGGTCTTACAGTTGTCTTCAGCTACTTAAAAGGATGGTATAGAGAAGATGGAGCCAGACTCTTCTCAGAGTTATACTGTGAAAGGATGAGAAGGAATGAGTGCAAATTGCAACAAGAGAAGTTCCAATTAGATGTAAGGAAAACAGATTTCATGATGAGAGTACTCACACATTTGAAAAAGTTGCCCAGAGAAGTTATGGAAACTCTATTTTTTTTAAGAGAGAGCCAAAAATTAACCTGCTATGAGTTGGCCTGGCTTAGGGGGCAGGGTGGTGGAACAAGATGACCTCCAGTGATCTGTTCCAACCTACGTTATTCTATGATACTATGATTCTCTTGGTTAAATGTTAACCATTGCTGGCAGTCAGCTGTTTAGGGATTTTGTGATATATTATACTTCTCCTTAAGAGTTAACATTTCTAGTTTTGATGAAGCAGATATAGGGAACAGATTAAGAAGTTGGATTGATTTCAGCTACTTAAAAAGAAAGTTATTTGTTGAAAAACAAGTGTTCAGATCAACTTAGCAATATCTGCTATAACTTCCTGGAGTTAGATAAGTAGGCCTCCTTACCATAACTAAAATTAATTCTGAAATTTATGATAAAAATTCTGTTAGGATTAAAAAATGTAAGTGAAATTTTGACCTAATTGACAGAACACATACAGGTTTCCATTGGGAAGGGAGGTAATGCTGTGAACACATGTATGTTAATTGTGGGCCTCTCTGATAGTTTTCTATTTTTATTATTATATCTTTTCTTTTCTCGACTTCTTGTCTCTCCAAGTTGTTATTTTTAAGAAGAAAAAATAATTACTTGGTGAACAAATGCTTATTCCCTTTAATGGGCCTGTTACATCTGATAAAGGTAAAATATATACTGCACATTTTTCTAGGAGTGAGGACATATGTCATCATTATTGATATATCGCTTTTATTTTGGAGCTCTAAAGTAAGCCAAAATAGGACACCAAATATGCTGCTGCAGCAAGTCATTAGTTAAATGCTTGTTTTGTTCTGCGTGGGAGGATGTTATCTGGCTGCATTCCAGAAAGGACTGATGTGCGGTAGCTTGTTCCCATTCATATGATGAAGCGCCTCACATTGAGGACATCAACAGTGCTGAAAAAAATTGCAGGTGGGCTGGCTACAAACATATTTTCGTGCAACCGTATATATCTGGGAAGACCGTGTAAGCCAAGATATATATTGATATCATCAAGAGTGGGAATTCTGACCTCATAGTGATCCCAGTTCACATTTCTATGTAACTCAGTTCACAGACTCCTACATTTTTATTGTGTGTGAGTGGTTAGGGTTGTTCATCCATGTGCAGTTACTGGATCAGACTTTAAAGTCTTGCTCAATGGAAGATTTGAGAATGAAGTGATGTATTTCTTAAGGAAGAAAACTGTGCCAAAGTATATGAGTATTTCCCTGAAGGAAGGTGAGTTTCCCAGCTTCCACACCTTAAGAAAGATCAAAGGACCCTTTCTGTAAAACTGCAGGTATCAAGCTGGAACAGATCCCGGTTGCGAGTTTCATATATTACTTTAGAAAGTTAAAAAACAATCTGCAGAGGCTAATTCCTTTTTTTCTTTGTATCTTCTGGTACTTTTAAGATAAATTACAAGACTGTGGTAGCTACTATTGTGCAACTAGCATGTGAATGCTTTTGACTTAACCTGCTTACTTAGTGTTATACCATTTATATATGACTGGATTCTTCCTTTATAGATATATGCAAAATATGCATTAACAGCTTAACGCTGAGGATTGAATGAACTGAACAATGAGCATTGAGTAGGACTTCATACGCATTCTCTCACAGAACTCCTAATTAAACCTAAGCTGTTTTTTTCCCTTTTGCTGTTACCAAGTGCCTGCTTATCCATCTTCCTCTCTTTCTGGCTAATGTACACAGAGGATAGCAGACTCCTACTG